TTACACAGGAGAAAATGTGTTTGATCTTTTATTTTCCAATATATCCTTTGCAAAAACCAGGGTCCAGCACGATTTTTATAATAGCTCGGATTACTACACTTTGATAACAATAATACCTAGCAAAAGGATCAAGTCTCTAAACCAATATAATATCTATATCCCGGAAACGGAATTGCTGTGACTAGCAGGACTGGTAGTGAACAGAGTGGTATACTTGCTCACAAACGATACCCTCGATATTCCAAAAAGGATAAATCACTTCATTGACCAATTTATTCAAATTATTAAACAAATAATGACTACAGCAGAAACCACGGACAAAGGAAAAGACAAGATAATACTCTGATGGACAATAGAATACAAAAAGGTTTATACCGAACATTTGAGCAGATAAGCTGTACCAGGGAACCTCCTCATCATAATAACAAAGGAATTCAAAACAATAATTAGAGCAACTAAACACAATTATTGGAGATATATTATAGATAACATCTCTAGTAATAAGGATCTATACAAAATAGTTGGTTAGCACAAACTTGTCCTGAATCTCAAAAGCCCCTTAATCATCTTAAACGAAATAATAATAGAAAATATGATAGAAAAAGCTAAAGTACTCAGAACAGAGATCCTGGACCGCTTCAATATAGAAAATAATCTGGAATATAATCCACTGGAAGATTAATAGAAAAAAAGCGGGTATCTACCCTGGAACTTCTGGTTTACACTGGAAAAAGTCGAAGTAAATGTTATTGGAGTATCCAGTATATCCCCAGGAATTGATCAAATCATAATCAGAATCCTCAAGACCTGCTAGGATTATCTTAAAGATTTACTAAGATAGCTTTATTAGAAATGCCTTGAATATAACTATTTCCCGAAAACCTGGAAACTAGCTGAAATAACCATACTACCCAAAATCGGGAAAAAGGATATAATATCTGCAAGGTTATAGAGATCTATTATTCTATTCTCCTATATAGAAAAAGATCTGGAAAGAATAATTATTAAACGATTAGGCTGAATAGTCCTAAAACATAACATTATCAATCCCTAATACAGCAGAGCCTTGTCTAAACACTTTATAATGGACTTGGTAGTATCCTTTATATACAATATGGAAACAGTATTAACTATCGGGAAAAAAGTGATCATAGTTATTATGGATATACAAAACGCCTTCGATACACTGCTTAAAAAACGATTTCTTACTAGAATAACGAAATAAGGCTGGCCTAAGGATTTACTTTTGCTAATTGACTTTTTTCTAATGAAAAGGAAAGTCAGAGTATAACTAGAGCAAACCATAACCAAAGAATATCCAATAGTTTGTGGAACTTTTTAAGGCTTTCCCTTATTACTAGTCCTGTATATACTATACCTGGCAAAGTTACTTTTAGAAGATATTTCCTTCAGGTTCAGGTATACAAACGATATATGCTTATACAAAGTATTCAAAATCTTGGAGGAAAATACCAGATACTTTATTATAGATATACAAGATATCATAAAGTGGAGAATAAACAATTGCATTGTTTTCACCTCAGAGAAACTGGAAATGATTTATATCTTTATAAATAATAATAACACAATATTTGCTATTAGGATAAATAAAGAATCTATAATACATCCGATAATAGCCACAAAAACAAACACCTGTTTAGCACTGAGATGGCTGGGAATGTAATTCGATAGAAAGCTGAACTTTTGGAGGTATATTATTGAATATGCAAGTAAAGCCAGGGTAGTAACAAAGCATATATAAGGTTTAGTTAAAGTTATATAAGGCCCCCCAGTATATTCTATGTGTAAAGCAGTAATTGTATATGTATTTCCTTCATTTCTATACAGGATTGAGATTTAATACAGAGATAGATTTAAGGTTATACAAAGACTAAAATTAAGATAAACAAAGGTTAACACTTATTTTGGCTGATATATGATACAAATCGAAAAGGTTTTTATAATAGTAATACAAGGAGTTATACTAGTCTAGAAAATTATATTAATGATTGCCCTTTACTATGAAACAGATCTCCTCTCAGTTATAACAGTTTTCAAAGAAGCTAAACTGAGGTTTATTCTATACCTTCAAAATGTAAATATAATCTATTTATTTACAAAAAGAATCGAACCTCTTATAATTGTTAAAGAATAAGATATAAGCAAAAGACAAAAAGCAAAAATCAAAGTCTAACGATTTGGTCTCCTCATCCTTTCAATCCCAAGGTCTATATTCAAGTTATCACAGTATACACCTGATTATCGAATAAACCCAATAGAAGAGATCAATAAAAAAACGGTTATAAAAGCCTTCAATATCTGATGAAAAAACCTATCAGATACAGATATCACTATCTTTTCAAATAAATCGAAAAACTATATAAAAGGAAAATATATTGTAAACTATAGATATATAATATACCTAAACAAAAACCAGATATTAATAAACTTTAGCTTTATCAATATCTAATCTCATATCTTCGATACAAAAGTTATTGGAATATAAAAAGGCCTGGAATATACTCTCAAGAACATCAGATATACTAACCAGAAAATCTAGATATATATCGACAATATCTTGACTATTTAAGGTATAAGGATTAATACTTTTATATCATTACAATGGATATTCAACAATTGTTATAGAACTATAAAAAACAATGATATTCATATCAAGTGATCATTAGGGCATAAAAACATTGAGGGAAATAAGGTAGCCGATCATCTCGCTAACCTCAGTGTTAAAAAATCCAGTTGGGATACTGAATCAGTATTCCAACCTACCTATAGTGGGGTAAGATTGATCACATACATTCTAAAAGAAGAGGCCTGCTAATAATAATGAATATTATATAAACCCGCCTTTTCTCTGTGATATAAATAATAGAACCTGGTATACAAAGTCAAATCATTGCTAGAGCTTCTATTCCCATAAGTAGTTTTATATAGATTAATAATTATCCGAATCTTACATAAAGATTTCAAATAATATCACAGGAAATTCGGGTATATAGGAAATACAGAATACTCTTGTAGAAAGTCTAAAACCCTTGTCCACCTAATCCATTACTGGAAAGCAAAAGATATATTTGAACAATAGCCAAATAAGCCCCTTACACTACTATCAACAAATAAGAAAGGTATTCAATACCTATATCAAGTCTTAAATAACCCTATAGATTTCGCAAAACTATTAAAGCTAACAAAGTTCTATAAAGATATATATCCAAAATAGAGGACTGCAAGTCTACATTCTACAAACAAATAATCTAAACTTTGTAATAATATATATTCATTATTAGAATCGATTTGCAATGTATAATACAAACGAAGTTATAAACTTTCTTTGCAGAGTAAATACAGGGAAACAACAAATAATTGTTAGGATCTAAAAACCCTGATGAATATCAATAAGGTATACGAAAACATATCCGAAAAACGTTTCTAAAAGCAAAACAAATATTTTAATCACTATACCGAAAGTAGTTTATTGAGTTATCTAGTATATGCAACAACAAGTTTATAAACGAGGGTACAATTATCTATACCAAGCAAAACAACAGAATCATCTCAACCAGTGGAGAAGAGAATACACAAATTGGAAGGTAATACACGATTACTAGGAATAGTCATAAGGCTTTCACTTTTCTTTCTAAGGCACTCTCATTTCATGTATCGTAAGATTATAGCTTAGAACATCTGCATACCCCTAGGGAGGTTGTGAGGACAGCCCTAAGCTGCCCTCCTGATGTAAAATAATACTACTACTACTACTACTTCCTATGATTTCACACCTACCTTCACTCCTTTACAATAGTAATATATTATTGTTATAGGAACTTTCTGAAATAATTGTTTATATTCATTACATTTATTTGTTTATAAATAATATAAGCCAAACTACAAGAATATAATTATTAAAAGGGGTATTATGTTATTATATAGAGATTAATCCTTTTCCAGAGACTAGCCGGAAAAGTGTAGATATAAAAGGATATAGAGTATCCTTTCATATCCTTTGTTTTTTATTAATTAATTCATACTGAAATCTATAAAGAACTACCCTTATACTACTATGGCAATAGTATAAGTTCAGTTCTGTACAAATTATACCCCAATTGTAACATTGATACTATCTAGCCTATTCCCTGCTTGTGATCTCTTACAAAAACGAACATTTTTTTGAAAATTTACATACAATACTATATTCAATCTTCAATATTAATACACTTTTTATATTAATTAATAAAATGAAATCTGAAGAAATAATATTCAAGAATATTATTCAAAATTTATAATTATCAAGTTAATAAGCTTCCAGAGAACAAGCTATAATATAGGATCTGAGATATCTTAGAAAAACGATTCGAAGAATGAATATCAGCAAGGCAAATTGATTTTCCGGCACCGAGGGGCCGAAGTCAAAGCTCGTATCAAATGATTTAATTCCTTGTAGTACCTAGCTACTAAATACTCCTCATTCATACTCATAGATAGAGAGAATGTATGTCTATTGTCTACGAGTTATACTTGAGTACAAAACACCAATACCTCAGTAACCTTAAATAGCATTTTGTCATATTGAGTATTGAGTATTGAGTATTGAACAACTCCTGTACCCGTACCCATACCGGCATAGTTCACTGTTCAGGCTCAGACAACCCGTTGGGGCTTGCCCGATTCGTTGCTCGGCCAGCCAATTTCATGTGTAAGATGTACATAGATGTCGCATATTGATAAACGCGATCACTATCTTGTATGTAAACTTAAAAGCATCTTTTGTACTCAAAAGAAGAATAATCAGTGTCTGTATTGGACCTATCATAATTACTACCTTCTTGTCATTCGTTATATTCATACCACGAGAAGGCAATATCATAGCATTGTTTTCCGTTACACGAAAAGCAAAAGAAGATTGCGCATAACTTTCAAAAACAACTCATGGAAGTCGTGCATTGCTTGATAGGATTATCCTAGATCTGAATAAGGAGAAATGAGCAATGCCAACTCCTGCAGAAACTCCTCCCTTGGATCCATCTTTCAGTCGAGATATCCATATTCATACCGATTCTTCAAGTATAGGTAAGCTTACATTTCTGATTATGATTCAAAATTCTTATCGCAAACCATCATGATTTGCAACTTAAATTTCAATGAAGGATTGGAATTTACCGGAAAAAGATTGATAGCTGTTGGTCAATTGTTTGTCTTTATCCGAAAAGCCCCCTCCTCGAATTACTGAATAAAAATTTGTCCCTGTTAGCACAATCTTGAACAATGACTAACCAGTGAATTTACCAGATTCCGAGTCCTCCCACATTAATAGGATACAAAATACTCCTACACATGCCCCCCTCACGATACTCTCTTCCAGCGCAATGAATATGCCTCACCTAGCCATGGATTCCTCTTTGCTCAAATCTTCGACAGGTACGATTAGATCTGTACCCTCCGATGACTCTCGATCCGGTACAACTTCGCAGGACGATAGCCCGACCGCGCAGCCTCAATCACAAAGCGACTCCACCATATCTACCACTCCGAGCAAGAACAGTTACAATTATACGAATGGATCGAGACCCCCTCTTAGTCGACCGTCAGGAATGGGCATGCCTAGAGGAGTGGTCAGAAGCATATCGACCGAATTCGGCCCTACCAAATACTCAAGCAGCAATTTACATGTTGTCGAAGATATGCCCGCAAATGATAGTGAAGATTTCAATTCTGCCATTGGAAAGGCAAACTTGGGAAAATCGGGAAGAGTTATAGAGCGACTTACCAAGGAGAATGACATGTTGAAGCGTGATGTGAAGATCGAGAGACTGAGAGCGGAAGAGGCTCTTGATCAAGCAAGATTAGCTGAGAGCAGGTACGCCCAAGAGAATGAGGAATGGGAGCGAAAGTTGCGTGATGCCGCCATGAATTCGACTGTCCTCAAGAGAAGGGAGCGACAACTTGCGGATGCAAAAGAAAAAGCTGACGCGGAACGGCACAAGGCAGAGAAAGCCACTGAGAGCGAGCTGTTTTGGAAGACTGAAATGGAGAAACTGGAGAAGGAATGCACAGCGAAGGTCGAAGAAGCCCTAAGCCGGGCAGAGTTGTACGAAGGAAGAAATAACATCATGACCAATCATTGGAAGGACCAAGAGAAGCAGGCTAACCAAAAAGTAGCGAAGCTGCAGAAGGAAATCACAATTATTGTCAAAGAAAGGAGTGCCGATGATGAGAAAATCAACATGCTAAAACGCCTCGCGGAGCAGCAAGCCGATCAACTCAAAACATTGCAAGAAGAAAAAGATGCTGTTGATCTGAAGTATGAGGATTACAAGACAGAAAAGGAAGAATCTCTGGTGGCTATCAAGGAGAATGCTAAGAAACAGGAGAAAGCTAGCGAGGAAATCTTGGCAGAGGCACAGAAAGTACTTGGTGAGCTGAAGTGGGCTCTTAATGTCAAGAAGTACGTGAAAGGAGCTGAATAGGGAGCTTGATCCATCTACCCGAGGTCGCCTGGAGTCGCCATAATCTCCCTGATTTCAAATATTTTCTCTTCTCGCTTGATTCTCTTAATTTCGACACGCACATCAATCATTTGCTTTCCAATTACAAATACATTACATCCTCCTCGAGCGTTCTAGCGACACCAAAGACTGCATTGCATTGGAGAAACAGGATACCATTGTACTTTCTGCGCTTTTGTACACTAGACACTATGGTTTTGGTCTCTCGGTCTCGGGTTGAAGTGGGCCAAGAAGTCCAGGGTGTTATGGAGTTTCATTTTTTTTGTGTCTACTTGGGACCATCATATCTACACACTGTACATTGGGGCAAACCCTGGGAAGTTCATCAAGTAAGACTTGCTTGGGTTTTTGGTGATGATTGAATGAACTAGATCTTTTTCTTAATGATTATTGTGCCGTAGTTGTTGTAATTTCAATTCAAGCTCGAGGTAAAAAAGCAAATTGTAATATTTTCAATTCTTCTTCATCAATTATGGTTCCTTTTCTACCATTGTACTGTAGACAGTGTGATAATATGCAATATAAAATTATGAAACTATTTGCAGCCATTGTCATATGCAAATACCCATCTATATTTATCAATGTACTGGGTCCTGGGTATTGAGCAAACGGCCGACTGTATAAGAACTTCAATTATTTAAATGTACATTCTCTGTTCAATGATTGTTTCTGTGATTTTATTTGCTCGCCCACTTCAGTTGTGATAACATCGTTTCTTTTCTCACTAGCTCCATTTTCAATATCGTTTGTTTACTTCCTTCCTCGTTTAGCAAATCAAATTGTTCTTTCCCTTTCCCGTCGCGGATTTCGCCCACGCGAACACAATAACTCTTCGTTGACTTTACATATTTTCCGAGCTTTCTCTGTGTGGCTCTGATATTACATTCAGATATTCCCTCCTCTCTTTTCTCTTTTGACAATATTGCTGGGACTGCGGTATTACCAGACGAGGACAAATTGAAGCCTGCAGCTGAAATCGTCTCGAAGATGAGCGTTAATAACCAGAGGAGCGGTGGGCACAGCTCATCCGCTACCGATCTCTTCTCCGATTCAGAAAATACTTGGGATTTGGGAACTCTTGCGAGATGTGGGATCTCAACAGCTATAATTGGCTCCGAATGGCATTTCAAACCAGCAGGAGTTATGGAAGTTGAAAAACGGTTCGCGGAGAAACGAGATCGAATGCGTGCTGTAAGTATCTCACTCTTAGTCTGCCAGAGATTTTCCTCTAGCGCCGTTCGTCATTTCCCTTAAGCCTTTGAGAATTCCTTCAAATTGCCAACATCTTCTACACGTGGATTTTGTGACTTTTAATGTCTTTACATCCGTACTTTCAGTGCGGATGCTATAGCAAACTTTATGATACTTTCTGAACACCCTCGTCATATTGAACACACTACTCTCAATCAAACATGAAGGTGCTATCACTAAGATAGAACTAGGAAGGTTATATTCAATGGCGTGACCATGATCACAATTTCCAGCTCTCCTCGGAAAGACATCTCGTACCTCTTTTAGAAGAGTTGAATCGAATTACCAAAGCAATCGTTGTAGAAGAGGGTGGTGATAGGGAACCAGATTCTGAGGATGATGACGACGAAGGAGACACATACAGTGACTTATCAACTGAGGTATGCGGCTCATACTAGATATGCCACCATATTAAACGCTTACATTTTCTTAGTTTCAAAGCAATGTAATCGAGAAAGTGGCTCTTTACGAACCATTGCAGCATACACGCTTACCCAACCCAAATACAGATGGTGTATTTTACCCAGATATCATCAAGAAATATGATTACCGCGGTATTTGGTTCTATTCTGATGGTAGCTCGATGGACAAAATCTTAAAACTAGCCATTGTTTGGGAACTAGAGGCCATGACGGACAGCAAGATTGTCAAGTCACCCAGCGAGTCGAAGGTCTATATCGGATCAGACCAGAAAGGTAGTGTCGATTTGGTGATTGCTAAGCTTGAGAATATCGCGAAGTACAGTGTGAGTGGAACTCCCATCCTTTCCTATTCCGACAAGCCATCACTAGCTAATCATCTACGCAGTTAACAAATACCTCGTTCCATCACATTTTCTATGCAGAGGAGATAGATTCGTGCAAATTTGTCATCAAAGCATTTCCTGAGATCAAGAAGAAATTTCTTGAAACTACTCTTCTAGAGATGATGCCTTCTGCTGAATATCTTTCTGAAAGACTCACCGTCAGAGCTTGTCCATGGAACACAGTGAAAGTATCTTATCTTCCAGTGAAGATAGGTAAATATACTGCCGCCGTGCAAAGTCCAGGGACGCAAGTCGCTGCAACAAAGTCATGGGCAGGCTTTGTTTGGAAAGCACGAGGAACTCCGGCAGATGATCCTGTGAATTACTTTCCTAATGGTTATGCAAAAGAAATTGAGAGGCAAGAAAATGGAGAGGGGAATCCAAAGGGTGAAGATGTCAGTTCGACGCATGTCGACATTGAGGGCTGGGTAGCAAATGCTTCAACTACAGCCGATCCCTCGCAAAGATCAAACATCGAAGAATGGAGGGGCACTATCGGCATGCCTCTCAACTCCTTAGCTCGCTTGGCCATGGCCTCGGGACTGGAGACAAATATGCCGAACGGTAAGACGAATACTGAAGGATGGAAGGGTGTCATCCATCAAGAACCGGCGACCAACCTCGAAATGCTTCTCTCTCCTGTAGAACGTTTAAGCATGCTCGCTGAGTCAGCGACGAACATATTGGAGGGTAAGCCAAGATTCATGCACCAAAGTTAGTACCTGTTTTAACTCTTGCGTAGGGGATTTATCGCCATATGGTAGCACAGGCGGGAACAGCTTTCTGCAATCGAGTCTTCTTGATTCTGCACTTGACGCAGAACTAAAAAATTCTGACTGGAATGCCCTCAGAAATAACGCTTCCGAAAATGCGCTCATTGATGTTAGTTCAAGTCCGACAAGATCGCCTAACCTGAAAATATTTGACATGTCAAACAGCTCTAATGCTTGGGGGGCTCACCAATTTACGGCCTTAGAACCACCGGCATTATCTTCCTCTTTGAGAATGCTTGAACGGCCAAAGCTTCCGTCTGAGGAGCTCGATGACTTGATGACTGCGACATCTGCTTCGATGGGTGGTCCAACATCAAATCCAGGCAACGAGTTATTAGATTTAACGGCATTTCCTGAACTGCCAGGAGTATCTGGTAGTTCAAACCCCTATTTGATGTCTGTGGGATGGCCAAGATTGTCTCCTGCGCCAAGCGTAGAATTTTCAGGGTCAAACCCCATAAAGGAAAATAGATCACAGCAGCCTCGTCGTAAACTTGAGGATGAGATGAGTACTCGAGTCTTTCACAAAACCATGGGTCAAAAGGCATCGTCTAACAAACAAGCTGCACCAAAGCGGAACAGTGTGCCAGAGCCACAAGAATCCTTCCTGAGAGACGTCGCAGGAATGTTTGGTGGTTTGATGGCACCAGTGAGAGGCTTTCACGGCAAAGTTAAGGTACATTTAAACTTTGGTAGAATCTTGCTAGGAAGGCTTCCTGTAAAGATCGTTTCGAAAGGCGATTTCATTAGACCATTTGACGAGGAGTATATCACCAGGCATCTGTGCCCACCGCCCGAGATCGAAATCAGACCAGGAGATGGACCTGAGCTTTTTTTTTACTGAGATCGTGACAAAATTAGAAGCCGACGCAATATTTCTGTCCAATCTTGAGAACAAAGAAGGCTCCCGTCTTTGGTCCGAGAAGAGTACCGAGTGGAAAGTTACATATGAGTTCATGTGCGAAGAACTACCTACTAAAAAAATATTTACCATTGAGATCGATGCAGAGACCTTCGAAACTCATATTGTGGTTTTGAGAAAGTTTGGCGAAATTGAAGTGCATGGTACAGTTCGCCATTGGGATCTGAAGCTTGCAGTTGAGGGAATCGAAGATGAGGAGGAAATCCGAGATAATTGGCCTGGCTACGATAATCTAGCTACGGAGATTCAGCGAACCCTTTACATTCCGTAAGTTCAAAATGTGTCATTATTTGTGAGTTTAACCTGACGTCCGACCTTCTAGTCCTGGAAACGAGAAACCAAATCACGCTTTGAAAATCCCCAAGCAGATCACGGAGCGTTTTCTTATTCATCAACTCAAGATCCGCAAGACTAGAACTTTCGACAGTCTTGATCGGAAGTCCAAATTACATATCACGGAGGTTGATAAATCTTGTGGACACGAGTTGCTGGTCAAAGATCAAGGAATGTTTGTCTATATTTTCCAAGAGGAGAAGAAAGATCTCGACATGGAGATAAACTGGCAAGAAGTATCCATTACCTCTGTAGTGATGAACGATCTCCTCCAACAAAATATGAAACTCGAGCTGGGCGAGGAAGCGTCATGGACACTCCAGGATCTTGCAGTGAAGAAAGTATCCAACACTTTCATCCACCCCGCATGTGTCATGCTCGCGCAGATGGATGGTGTCGGTTTCTATAACGATATCCAAGATATCAAAGCTTAGACATGCAATAAAGTATGCTGCAGCAGAATACCGAAAACCACCGAATACCAATTCTACCCCACAGTTCTGAGGAATTGATCCGTGATTTTGCTGGGTCTAGAAAGAAACACGATGGGTATGACGCTGGCTTGTTCAGAGTCAGAGACGGCGATATTCCGATAGAACAAATGAGGGTATTAGTTGATATTGATACTCCAAATCGAATGTTATCGAGAATGCATGTTATTACAGGTGGTGATATAATATGTGCATGTATAATAATGGTAAAAGAAGGTACCCTCACGAGAAAAACAACTTTAATTCTTGGGTACCTGAAGTGATATGAACTTCAAATGCCATTCGTTCACATCACATCATATCACTTTAGGTAGCATAGATAGAAATGAAAATGAAAATTACCCTCTGATAGTTATTATATCATCTGCTCGTGTATATATATATATATACACGTCAAAATTTGATCTAATCCAATCCAATCCAATCCAAGCAGAAGAGATAAATAACTAATAACATAACTGCATTACAAGAAATTACAACACGTATATCGATTTGGCAAGTTTATAGTAACTGCTGTCATTGCTTTATTTAGAGTCGTCTGGTGGATGTGTATGAGTACAATAGAACTCGTAGGACTCGTAAGGCCAAAGGGTACTTTGTAAGATTACTTTAGATTCTCCTGCTGTTGATGTTTTCGGTCGTACGTGTGGTATGGTGTGGTGTGGTATGGTATGAATGGACGATACAGTTTTGTGGTGGGTTTATTGTGTAGTTATGTGATTGATTGGGGAGGAAGGAAGGAAGGAAAGAGAGAGAGAGGAGGGGGGAGAGAAAGAAAGGAGATGCGGTGGTTGTGCAGGGGTGAAGGGGGAGGGAAAGGGAAAGGGAAAGGGAAAGGAGGAAGGGGGGAGGTTTGGGGAGTGTGGATGGGATTGAGGGAAAGGAAGCTTCATGGCATCGAAAGAAAAATTATTGGGGATATTTTAGAGTATGACCCTTTCTATATAAGAGAGGGCTTTGAACCAAGCAGCCATTTTGAGGGAGAAATGTAATTTTACTATGTCTTGGTTTGCGCGTGAGAATGAGCTTGATACAGTAATTAAACTCCCCCGCGCATCGCGTCATATTGGCATCGTTATGCACCCTCTACTCGAATACGTATTGTACCTCTGGTTCGTCTTGGAAATGAAACTCTCGAGTCTCAAGACGTCCTTCGCTACTGTAGGATCTTTGTACGATTGTGTGGAGTCTTGTTGAAATGGAAGTAGCGGGTGTGGAAATGATAGAGAATGGGAAAAGCTAAAAGGGGAAAGTTATTTGGGTGAGGACTTTGGATTTTGATTGTGGGTTGTGATATGATGAAGAGTGGAGAGAAGAGGAGGAGAGGGAGAATGATGGGGTTAATGGAGTAGGGGACGAAGGGGACGAAGGGGACGAAGAGTCGAGCGGTCCTTAAAGGAGGTAAGAAGTGTTAGGGATAGGAGTGATTGGAGGGATAGGCGGTCAGAAGAAGATAATAATGGCGGAAGAAGAAAGTGAAAAGCAAAGAGAGTCATTCGTGGAGGGAGGAGCTGTGTTATCACTTATATGACGCTGCCGTTTGCAATTGTTCATAGCTGATAAAATCATCACTAAATACGCCTTTCTATACTGGCTGGTATCGATCCTACTTCTTCCATATCATATCTTCGGGTAAGGGTTATGTATACCATATACCACGTTGGGGTGTAATTAAATAAATGACACAAGATACCGGTATATATCGGTTGTGCCATACCGGCCGGGTATGTAGTGATGCCCGCCCGACACAGGCCATCGGTCGGCACGGCTACTCCAGCACTAAACTGTCGCACGATGCCGATGCCGTCGCGATTGTGAACGACATTGATGAATTTTTTTTTGGTACCGGTATACTTTTGTAGTAAGTATATGTCCAGTTCATAAATTATCGTCTATAAAGGTCATACTCATCTTCTTGTACGTGTACGTACTCACCTTCCATATGCAAGAAGATGTTGACGCCGCGCCTCCTTGAAAGCCAATTCATTCCGGTGGTGGAGTGTTTGAAATTGTATGTACTGTAACTGTAAGAAGTCTCGCCACACATAAGATTAAATGATAGTACCTATAGATTCCATGTTCCATAATTCCAATTCAACAAAGTTATACTTCTGTCGCAACACGAACGACATAGACACATATCAATGATTTTGGGGATTGGTGATTGAGATGGTAATGGCAATGGCAATGGCAAAGAAAAATGTGGAATGTAGTTGTGGTTGTGGAGATGTTTCGTACCCTACGTCATCGCACCACGACCACGACCACCATTGTCATTCGTTCTTCAACATTCTTCTGCCATCGCCAATCTCCTCTCCTTCAATCTACAATCTCTAATATCGACATTCGCGACGACGATATATTCTAATCAAGCTGCTTAAGAATAACCCGTGGCTGTAGCCCGAGTATCAAATGTCTGAAGATAATCAAGCCATGTCGAAAACGACCAGAGACCTTCTTACGAAAGTCAGAAAGATTGTGCCACCGATGCTGAGCAAATTTCACAAAGGTATATTCAGATGACGGTTTATATCTACAATGGATTGACACTTTTAAGGGCAGATGGGTAGGATAGCCGTTATTGGGGGGAGTGAGGACTACACCGGTGCTCCATACTTCTCTGCAATGGCTAGCGCAAGGCTGGGTGCAGATATGGTACAAGTTTCCATAATCATCTGTCGTGTTGACGGTTGTTTTGACTAACGTTCATATCAACAGAGCCATGTTATTTGCGAACCCAGAGCTGCGCAAGTTATCAAGACATACTCGCCAAATCTAATGGTTCATCCATTGATGCGACAATCCTCTCATGCAACGATGACCGAATCAGCGAGCTCGATTGCTCAAAGCATTATTGATATGCTACCGCGATTACATGTGATAGTTATTGGACCTGGCCTGGGACGAGATAAATTAATGCAGGAAACATGCGCGAAGGTACTCGAGGCCGCTAGAGAGAACAATATGCCGTTTGTCCTAGATGCGGATGGGTTACAGCTCGCGCAGACCAGACCGGAGCTTGTGCAAGGGTATAGGGAGTGCATATTAACACCCAATATTGTGGAATTTGGAAGACTTTGTAAGAGTAAAGGTATTGATGTTGAAGGTTTGAATGGGGTGGAAGGTGCCGAGAAGCTGGCGAAGGCCTTTGGTGGTGTCACGGTCATACAAAAAGGAGCACAGGATTATATTTCCAATGGCGACAAGACGTATGTGAGTGATATTGAGGGAGGGTTGAAGAGGAGTGGTGGACAGGGCGATACGTTGACTGGAAGCCTGGCAACATTCCTGGGATGGAGAAAGGCATATTTGGATAAATTGTGGGATCATGATGGAGATACTGATGATATTGAATCATTGGCCTTAGCAGCATTTGGAGGTAGCAGTGTAACAAGAGTAAGTACTCTCTCAAAATCAAGCCTCGTTGACCAGTACTAATCTTTACAGGAGTGCTCGAGGCTAGCCTTTGGCAAGAAGGGCAGGAGTTTGCAAGCTAGTGATCTTACTGAGGAAGTGTACGCCGCATTTACGAATCTTCTCGAGTCCGAAGATTCAACTGTTAAATTGTAGATTAATAAAATAATACCTACCAACGGTTATCAGCAAGTTAGCTTATGACACAGCTCTACCAGCTTTACCAATTGTACACGTGCGCGGACTGGGAATGGCTTTTGCTTTCCAATCTTCAGGCTAATGGATGGTGAGACTAGTACAGGACCAGACGAAGCTAAATTACAGACATGCAACGAAAGGACAAGTACCGGCCGGGTCAGCAGTAGTAGGATGCGAGGTATTCCCATAATGGCGCATGTGTCGTACAAAGGAATCAATGGTCTTTCAATAGTCTCGAGTTAGCTCCAAACTCCCCATTCACAAAGGAGTGGTTGACCCCTACGGAATGCGTGATCCGTGCCTTTTTTCTTCGGTGGATACCTAACCTTATATACTAGATGGAAACCGGGGCTGCGGTTGTTTCAGGGTTGGATCCTGTTGGTTTTGTTGTTGGGCTGATGGTTGTGGAGGATGTGGTCCAATGGAATTTTAGCTGATGTGATGAAACTTTGTCTGAAATACATGGATGGATGTGTGGATGTGTGTGTGGGTGGGTGTTGTTTGGTCGGCTGATCTTTACGTAGTCTTGCGTTTTTGATGGCTTCTTGGATAGGGTGAGGCTTGGTGTGCGCCACCAATACTCGGTATGTACTCGAGTATAAGCTTCACTCTTGTTTTTGTAAGGAGGGCTAGATAGTAAGATATAGAACTCAATGGGTGTTGATGAGGGGTACCGGTAGGTGTTGTGTTGTTCTCGAGCAGAAAAGAGTTAGATCTCACTGCGAAGATGCTATTATATCGGCTGGGATTTTGATATGATTCATGGATAAAAATCGAAATATTAAATGAAATGCATGTTTTAACTTTGAAATAAGCATTGATATTCTACTTATTAGCAATGTATGCGCTCTGGATTGAGGAGTTGACTTGTTCAATTCAATTCAATGAAATTGAAATAATAAAATGGCAATATCGGTCACGCTTTTTCCCCTTGCAGAGATTGTGATTATGTGATTATAGACTCATCGTTGAATTTTCTACTGACCCTGAAGACTACTAGTACCTCTACCAAGTATTGGATGATGTATGGCCATGAACAAGAACTCTTTGACCTTGGTGTAAAGTTCATTTTACACAGCAGATGTTACTGCCGTATATGGCTTATTTCCAAGCCGTTAAGAAGCACCATAAAATCTCCATAAAATCACTGTACAACAGTGCTACAGATATTGACCAATAGGAAGCTATACCATAAGAAGTTGGGGTATTGGTAAGTGTGGGGTAGATGTTCGACCCCGCGCACCTTCTTATCCTACCCCTCTCTATACTTGGCAGAATTAATTCAATGGTTATCCGGAATACTTTGATTATGTTGTCGTACTTCAACTGCTTGGCTATTACTCAGACCTTCTTCCAGAGACTTAAATCATAAATTCCTTCCTTGGAGTTTTTCAGCCAGGCACATCCACCACTTGCACCATCCCTAGAGCTCGCGTTACCTTACAATATCGCATCAAAATGGCAAGCAGTACTGCAGTTACTAGAGACTATGGAAAGAGGACAGCAATTATTACGGGATCTGCGAGGGGAATGTGGGGTCTCACAAGCTCTACAGGGCATATTCCATAAGTTAACGAACAGACAGAGGCAAGGCAATCGCAATCAGACTGGCCGAGGATGGTTTCGATATTTGTATAAATGACATTGCTGCAAACAAAGCTGGTATTGATGAGGTCTGTCTGCGAGAAAAGTCTCTCGGTCTGCAAAGTGCTAATATGTTTGAAGACGGTATTAGAGATTCAGAACATGGGTCGATTATCTTACGGCCACGTCGCAGATGTTTCCAAACTTGCCGAAGTCGAAGGTTTGATTGAAGCCTCAGTTCAAAATCTAGGCAATCTTAATGTGATGATTGCAAACGCTGGTATCGCACAAGTGAAGTCTCTCTTAACCCTATCCGAATACGAAGTTCGAAGAATGTTCGAGGTCAATGTTTTTGGTGTCTTCAACTGTTACAGCTCTGCTGCCAAACAAATGATCAAGCAAGGTGGAGGCGGTAAGATAATTGGTGCCGCCAGGTATGTTCATGCCCCAAAGAAATTAACCGATGACTTGCTAAACACGCTCATAGTGTCGTCGCTTTCAAACCATTCGCCATGCTTTCCCACTACAGTGCTTCGAAGTTCGCTGTAAGAGGGTTTACTCAAGCCTTTGCCATGGAAATGGCCGAACACAAGATCACTGTCAATGGGTACGCGCCTGGAATAGTTGGTACTGCCATGTGGGAATTGATCGACGAGGAACTTGGTAAGACAAGAGGAGTTGAGAAGGGGGACACGATCAAGAAGTATACAGATGAACTTATCTTACTTGGAAGAACAAGTGTTCCGACAGATGTGTCGAAATGTGTTAGCTACCTGGCGAGCCCAGACAGTGATTACATGACAGGACAGACTTTGATTATTGATGGTGGAATCGTTATGAATTAATCAGTAGAAGAACTACATTCATTTAGTTTTCACATTGTTTATTTCGTTAATCAGCGCAACAAATATTTACTTATTAACTCTGATCTAGTTTGCCCTTCTTCGAAATAAGAATTCTCTGATGTAAGAGGTTTTCTAAATTCTCTTCGAATCAGTCTTTCTTAGTCGCCAGGGCAAGTTTTTACTGCGAAAGGATGATTCACTTGGCTCTAACTTAAGCTCCCAACCGAATTCATTCAGGTAGACCATCGCAATATCGAAGCTTTTGGGTATTTGATACTCAAAATTACTTGCCAATTTGCCGATTACAATAATCTGGCGAGCGAGAGCTAGAAAAGCCTGGAAATGATAGGAAAGTGAATAGAACCTGACTACAGGACTCCTGCCTTAGATGACTTTGCCGTCAATAATCCCACCATGACTCTTGACTCTAAGATTCGAATACCCAAGGAACTCAAAAGAAAGACAAACCCCTACACATCCACCATTTCGATTCACAGAATTAGATTTCTTGAATAACCTTTTGAATTTCAAAAGCTTTGTGGGCTTCCATCTACTCACTGTCTGATCTACAAAGGTCCTCACCTGAAGGTAAAACTCACCTTTATTATTATAATGAAGAAGATACACTAAGCCAGCTCAACTTCCCAGACCTTTTCTATCAAAACCACACCTGAGAGTGCACCACTAAAATACCCATGAAGTGGTTCAAGGGAAAAGACGTGACCGGTAAAAATCACGAGCCAGAACTAGAGAACGTCCCGCTTCGAGATCGCGCTAGAGTAAGACGAGAGAAACGAGAGGAGGAAAATTTGTTCAATGTGTATGGTATCAGGACCACGCGAGCGGAACATACGGAAGCGCTTGAGCTATTGGGGGAGGATGAAAAGTATGGAAAATTTCTATGTGTGAAACCTAGTCCATTGAGGAATTGTTGGACTTTGGTAGGACAGAAAAGAGATAACTGAGATAATATGGGAGCATTTATTGTGGCTACGGCGGATTGGATGATCTAGGACCGATACAAATTACGAAGTTGAAGGATGAGAGGCTTAGGGTTATTATTACGGCTGAAGTGCGGCAAGGAAACCGGTGAGCAGTGGAAGAGATGAACATTGCGCAATCCAAGAGGCATTTCAGACTCATCAATAACTCTACCTGCTGCACGTGTACATAATTCTGATGAAAATCAATGTCTTTCGATGAAACCGTGGAGCAGCCGAGTGGCTTCTCTTCACCCCAGATATAATCATTTGATGGTTTTGATGTCTTTGAGAGTCTGTATTGTGCAAGGAGTCGTAGATATCTCATTGCTGTATGAACTACCCTGCACCTATCATGTCATTATCTTTGAGGGGTCTATTCACTGGCGCTGCAACAATCACCAATTATCTTGGCAAGCTCATTTGCGTATCAGAGTCTCAGCTTAGTGACATAATTCATTGGCCCTATAAATCCTGGTTGTATCATTTAGGGGATAGCGTAGAACAAATCAAGCTCCAAAAGTCAAGACAGACAAGATGTTTGTGAATAAGCTGGTGTGTTTATGAATTACTTAAAGTCACTGGGTTATACTCGACTACAGAGTGAAAATTTCTTCTTCTACAACATTCATTGTTCTGTATTGGTCAATTATTCGCATTCCCGGTGATATTATCCAACAATAGTGTCCAAGGAAAAGCTTATGGACATAGCCCGAGTCTCTTCTCGGAATCTTGGTTCGGCTTTGAAGACTAGGACGGAAAAGGTTTAGTTGTGAAGGAGTATAAAAAGACATGAGTAGTGGGCCACCTTGTACTGTACATGCAGATCTTTTTTCAATGACAATTAGTTCATAGGGCTGAAAATACCTTTCTTGTGTTTCGATTGGTTGTTTCGTTACTAGTACGTTCATCAATAGGATACTAAGTTTGCATGGTCTAGCCCGTAACCGAAGCTCCCCAAATAAACTTTATCGCCTAACCTGTTTGATGCTTGATTAAACTTGATTAATGGATATTCAACGAAACCAGTAATCAGCTAGATCGTGATAATTTAGCGGATATGATATGCCGAGACGCAAGCAAAGCGTGATATAAAACCTGTTCTGTCCCCAGGGCCCAGGCTTTTCCTCTTCATGGTTTACTTCTCCTGCTTGATCCGTTAAAGACTCTTCTGCTGTCGAAATCTCTCTGTGTCAATAACTCAAATTCAACAAGACAATAATTCCGAGTACAATGATGTCTTTCAATGGGGTAGATGATACCAAGGATGCGGTAAGTCACTTTACCCTATCTCTATATTCTTTCTTTTGTTGCATCCGGAGACCTACAAGAGCACTTCCATCATGTTGGAAAGCGAACACTGACAGAAACTACCACAGATTACCGCCGGCCAACTGGCAGACTTGACACTGAACGACAACACGGACACAAATTGGTTCAGTGACATGGCAGCTTTCGGAGTTCGCATATGTAAGATGGCATCCAAGAATACGAGCTTGTTTAGGTGCTTGTTTTACAAGAAATGGGGCATGCTACGCATGGGTACGGGGACTGTGGCCAGAGGACTCGTGAGTTTTCAACACAAGGGAATAAAAGTAGAGTCGTTGGCATGGATACTAACGGATTACTAGAGAGAAAGAAGGCCAGAGAGGGTAATGAGTCAAGAACAAAAGTTGTGGCCAGGCGGTGGGAAGTGGATAGTGAAGAAGAGGAGCCCATTGAGGGCAGTTATGATGGCATGGGAAGTGACTGAAGAAAAGAATGGAGGGCAGTGGATTCCATCGCCAGCAATCGCAGTGGGATGAAGAAATGGAGTAAATGGGATGGATATATGGGAGAATATATAATGCCAACATAATTTTGTCTCTTTTCAGAATATATCTTACATTGGCTCAATTGCGTTCAACATATTAACAATCTCCATTTCATTTGGCAATTGAGCGCCAGTGAGGTCCCATTGTGATTGAACACAATAATACTCTTTGCACCACAAGAGGTGCTAATAGCAATACCACAGCCATTTTCTTCGACCGGAAGGCCCAGCCCACATTCCTAATTCTTTATATTTTAAGAGACCAAGTCTCTTCATATCTCTCCGTCATTTCTGATGAACAAGAAAATCAAACTTTTGTATATCCACAGTACTTCTTCATACAGAAGCATCATAAATACCAGGTGATGGTCCATAGATACTCAGCTCATATGGTCATATGTGTACAGCCAGCAAAGATCTACAGTTTATAGAGTACGGCTGTAGACCGTGCGGTCGAATGTTCTTGCGCCAGCTTTACTGTACCTTTTTTCTACATATCTTTTGGGTATGTAGGTTTGTGAATCAAATTATCTAACCACGTAAATTAATTCACCATCACAAATTCGTCTCTCACAGAAAAGTAAATTTCACCCATCATAAATTCTTCTTTCATAAGAAGGCAAATTATCTTAAATCAAATCCTTTTCACAACTAATTCGTAATTACCTCTCTCTCTTTCCCTCTTCCTTCAAACAAGTCAATACAACAAGTCAGTACCAAGGATATCTATCTAAATAGGTACCATCATATATATCCAGCTTAGCTGTTTATTTCCGATACCTCTAATCTAATTCACACAAAAGAATCATCCCACACGATGTCTTTAGCGAACCTACTACCACCATTGACCAAATCTTGGGCAGACGAAGTCAACGACGATTTGGAGGAGCGGTCTCTCGAGGTTAATTTCACTACTAGCTACTATATGAATACGTCTAGGCTAGATCACTATTCAGAGATTGAAGAAGCGGAAACACTTCCACCTGATTTTACAGATTACGAGGTAAGTATGACTCTCAGCATGTGTGGATGCACCTTTAATGATTCTTTCACAGGCTCTTGGATTGCCAGACGAAGAACACATGTTCGACTCCTATCCTTTCGCTTCAAACGACGAGATGATACCGAATAATCAGAGCCCTGCCGTGGAAACATTTCCTGATCAGATCTTACTGCCCAACACCAACACATTAGCCAAATACATGACAATGGATATCCCCAAAACACTACCTTACTCTACTTCGGAACCCAACGCCTATGAGTCCTTCGATACCGAATTCGAATTCAAGAGAGATATCGAGGTATCACGCGACGAAGATCAGGAGGAAACCACCACAATTACTCAATACAGCATCAACACTTGGGAGAAATCCATTGACGATTTCCCAGATCTTTTGGATGATTACAATCCAAGCATTGAGTCAACTCCTCAAACTACCCCCGAACTCGGTACCTCGTTCTTCTCGGAGCTTGGCTCACACTATAGCTCGCAGACAGAGGAGGACGGAGAGGAGTTTCGGATCGATCACCCGTTGGTGGGAAAAGACGTAGTGGGTATCTGAGAGTCGTTTGTGGAAGTAAAGACTAGCGAATATGATGCGCATCCCCCAAAGGTCTTTCATCGCGGTGAGGTAAGCATAATCGATTCTTTGATTTTCGCATTCCCGGTGGCCCCAAATTCCTATTTCAAGTTTCCATTTCTGTATCCTCTCAAATTTCTCAATACAGCTTCTGCTCCTCCTTTTCCTACAGATCTTTCCTTTTTAGAACATTACTGACCCTTTGGCTTTCAAGAAACCACAAGTCTGGGAATGGGCACCATCAAATCTAAGATGCTGTCAAACGCTTATTCGCGACGATGGTCCCAAATATGAGAATTAGGTTATGAACTAAATGTTGTATATATGATCTTCTATTTGGCGCATTAATTTCGCGATGGTATTTTGGGAAGGAGTTATATGAAGTTCATTTTGCCAGATAAAGTGGTTAATTTCCAAGCTCTTTCGAGCCGGGAATTGTGAGACAGAGGCATAGGGATAGGATGGTGAGATTAGGATATTTGGTGAGACAAATGATTATCTAAGGGTTATTGAGGCAGTCTATAGTTAGGATTATACATGCATTTATTTGTTAGTTCCTTCTTCTTTTCATTATTGATAGTTATTGTCATTCTTCATTTCTCGCTTAATTATATCAAGAACGTCGGACCATAATCTGTTACGGCAGTAATCTATATTCACTGTTCTATTCTTAATGAAACAAAGACAGTACATCAGTATGCTGCTATAAGAATCAATGTTCATTTCCGATGTACAAAATGTCCAAATCAAATCAACCAGTTTGTGATTCTTGCAATTCTTGAATCATCCAAATCAACCCCGTCCATCCGCACTCAACAAAAAGCAAGGCGCAAGCAATCTGATCGCCTATTGGAGTCACAAAAATCATATCATCAAGATGTTACCACCTCAAGTATGGCGTGCTATGCGATGGCAACCTGTAATAAACACCGATTACGATGGCGCAGTCCTTGTCGGTGGTTTGGAAAACGAACTTCGACATTTTGGCGACCCGGATGAAGAACATGATTTTTGGGGAGATCCACCTCCTGCAAAGCCTTGTCCTGTGAGTAAAGCTGTTTCAAAATATCTTGAAAGCTGGTTTCTCTTTCGCGCGATCACTTACTGACCAAATTTATAAATAGTATACACATGAAGGCGCAAGAGCTATTGCGGCGGCTAAGAAGAAAAGAAAACAGCAACAGTTGAGAGTAGCTCGCGAAGCTTCAATAATAGGCATCTCACAATATGAAGGCAATGCGAGCGACGAGGATTTTGACGAGGCTATCGTGGAAAATGAGGAAGAGCAAGAGGAAGAGGACGGCTGTACGATCGAAGGAAATGTGGAGCCACTTGAATTTCATGATGAATGGTTTGGAGGGGATATGCCAGAAGATTACGACGAACATGAAGTAGGACTTGAAGATTGTTCACAATGTGGAGGACAGTCAAAAGGACAAATCGACGACGACAATGAAGAGGCTGATGACTGCGGGCGGAATGCCGAGGAAATAATAACAGGTCCGATCAAAGACATAGATATTCCCATAGACGAAGATATCTACGCCAGCGATCTCGACCTCACGCAAAGTTTCATCTTCATGTTCGATGAGGAGCTTGAAACTAAAGGCGATGCTAAGGAAATGAAAAACAAAATTCCATCAACTAAATCCTCCAAGGACCATTGTCTGTGCCAATGCGGCGACTCTGCCTTTGTCGAAATCGACAATAAAAACAAAATCAATGGCTTAAATGGAATGGAAAAGACCCCATGTCCGGCCCGGGCTGTTATTGCAGCCCAGCCTGGAATTTGGCGAGCAATGACTGCTTGCAGACCATTTGAACGAGCACGCCGTCCGCATATTGTCAGACCAGGAAGTTGGCAGGCAGTATAAACTCACCATTTGTCATACAAGCATCCGCAAGTTGGCTGGAACGGAAGAGAGCAGGGTTTGAGAGATAAAAGCTCGTCACTACACGATGAAATCCTATATGAAAACTTGAGTTGGCTATGCGACTCTCAACATATTTAGCTTGCACACCTAAAGTGCGCTACCCGGAAAACTTCTCGTCCATGATACCCAAGAAGAGACGCTGTCCGAAATATATTTGCGATTTGAGTTTAGAAGAAAGTCTTGGGATTGGAGGAGATAGTAATAATCTAATTGGATCACTAAAAACCATGATCGTGGTGTTTTTATGGCCGAGTGATATTACTGTGACTTGAGACCAAGGACCGCTCAGAGCTGTGAGAATCTTGTGAAAAAAAGGTAAGAAAATGATAACGACTCTCAAGCTATTCTAGAGAAGTTCTAATGCGTCTACAGTGCTACTGCAAAAGGACCATCACCCACTGGAAACGATTATATTGCGACTAATTCATTTATCTGCTTTTCTATTCATTCTATATTGATGTGCAATAAGTTTTGCTTAATATACACCGTTCTAGATCTGTATATATGGTTGTAACAGTCGCAACCGTGGAATCTACTTACGAGTATTGCTAGACAGTGATGACCATGACCCATTTAACTCAACTATACTGATCTTACTTGAGTAGTAGACCATTTACTTACGTCTTGGACCAGTTATGAGGCTATTTGCCTGCACAATTATCAATAAAATTCACAAATGACGCGCAGGTTCAAAAATAAGTTATGAATTGAGGCATGAGGATATCGGCAGAGAATTGTAACGTCACGTTCCTAGACTGTTTGGCTCATACATCTTTGTGCAAATGTACCTATACCTATTTGGATCTAGAAGCATAAGTTACGATTTGATTTCTAATAATGTATTCCGATATTCGAGGGTCATCCTGAACTAGTATGCTAGTATGACCTCAAATTACTTGGCTAGGCCACAAACTCAAAATCCTACATTTACACGAGATCTCCTTCATATCACTTCGTTAGATTTTCAGTTCCACGACACTTTCTTCACACATAATCTTCTCTGAAGCATCTTAGAAGCACCTTAAAATCATCTAAATCACATTTTTAATTCCTCACAAACATCTACAACATAAGAGCGTCAAAAGAATATCTCTATTTGCAAGCAACAATATCAACTACGATGTCTCAATATTCATCAACTAAGAGCCCTCCTATCAAAGAAGACACAGAGTCTTCAAGCCGGGAATTTGGCTATGTATATGAGATGGCAATCCCAAAACATTTGGCGGAATGGGAGAATAGGAAGGGATACATGTGCAAAAGAGTTTCCGAGGAGCTCATATGCGCTACCGCCAAGGATTGCAACCTACCACGATGGGCAGTGACTGTCGAGACCGTCAAATATCGAGGTTTCCTTAACGAATCAGACAATCTTACGGAAGCGGAAATCAGGGACGAAATCAAGACCTGGACTCGAATCAATATATTACGAGCAAATGCGGAACGCAAAGAGAGACAAAAGACATCTTCGGCAACGTCTTGATGGAAACATGGAAGAACGAACCACTGGCAGATTGGACAACGGAGATTGGATATACTGCGCGAGAGCTGATGGGAGCAAATGTCGCGGCGGTATGGTATCCTGCGTTGGGCAACACTTGCAGCTTAGCTTAGGGGACAAACAAGAAAAGGGACGGACGGTGCACGAAAATATCGGTTATTGCGATCTGGGTAGTTTTGCATATGGAATGGACGGCGCAGGTTGAGCAGGAAATCTTATGCAGTGGGGCTTTGGATTGGAATTTTGGGATCTTATGGGGGAAGGCGAGTTTGTGTTTGTCGATACTGGCGCATGTAATCTGTAGTTAGGGATCATTTTGAAATTTTATGTTCATTCCATACGGTCATAAATCACTTACCGTGAGGACATACTCGAGTACAATAATAAGTACCATGTATACAGTTAAGGACAACCAGACCTCACTTACCTAAAGTCTTTTTATTATATATCTTGAAGTTTTCTACTACTCGTTTATTATATACAGACTTAGAATGATAACGAAAATTCATATGTATAATAATATTTTATAATTGATATTTATAATTGATTTGATATTTAATATAAAAGATAATTATATAATGATATATTGAAGGTCACGAGCTAAATAGGTTAGGGTATTTAGCGAGGGGAAAGCTTATTAGCTAATAGGGGTAATCGAATAATAATTAGTATAAGGGGAATGGATAATAGTATATAATATGATAATAGTAGTATTGTATTATAGTATATAATAATAAGAGATATCGAAAGTGATGATTCTTAAAATGAAATAATCTAGGGCCTATAGCCTTCTTTTATGCTTTTTCCAACTCTATGCTTTCGTATAGCTAGATGCTTTCATTTTCCGAATTCAGCTAATATGCTTTCATATTCCGCATTCGGCTAAATTTCGTTTTTAGTTATATGTTTTCATATTCCGTATTCGGCCATATGCTTTCAGAAATGATAAAATCATATAA